ACGAAGGAAGACCATGAGACACCCAGCAACGCTGAGCTGGTAGCGGATGACCCCAACGATCCATACGAGGAACAGGGTCAGTCTTTCAGACTGTATAGATGTGCTTTCCAAAAGAATAATTCGATTTATTTGCTGATGTGCAGTTGTTTGCTCTCCATACTGTAGTGGTTTACACATTTGCCTGACAAATGAAAGATCCCTGGTTCATCTCCTGAGAAGAGACACAAATCCCTGTGGCGATACATCAGGAAGGGTTTATGATGTGAAAGGATCTACCCACTGTGGCAGGTTCTTGTTAATAAGGGTGTAGCTGATAGTAGCTTCTTCTTATTTAATGATTATAATACTGTGCAAGTTCTAAGCCACCCCTCATATCTTTATATTTTCCTTCCAAGGAGACAAAATTTCTTGTATTTTTTCTAAGTGGTCTTGATCAATAGTTCTCACAGTTTCAATGTTTTTCTTTGGAAATTGACAGCTTTTGACACTCATCTTCAGTCTAGACCTTGTACCTGACCATTTCAGAGGGTTTTGTATTCTTTTATTTTGTATGCTACTTAATGGTAACTTATAACTCATTTGAGTTAAAAGAAAAAAGATAAAAAAAGAACCAGTATGTTCTTAAAAAAAATGAAAGGAAGCTGGACAGAAAAGACGGATTAATTATCAGTACCCCCCCCCCCCCTTTTCTTTTTTTTAAATTTCTCAGATAACTTTTGTGAAAACCCTTATGCTGTAAACACAGGAATGTTTCTTTCTCTAAAGACCACCCCATATAAACAACATTAGACCCTCCCTGAGCACTAAATATCTGTGACTAATTAAGCAACAGTCAGATCTACTTTAGGTTATTTTGTAATGAATAGTTAATGAACAAGAGTGTGTGTATGTGACTCATTAGTAAAATACCATTTAGGCTTGGACACTGTGTGGCTCAGTTTTTTGTGATACTGTCCGCTAACAGCTACATATCCAGATCTCTGTTGGTGATCTTGGTAGTGCAGGATGCACTACTTTAGTTTCATTAAACATTTAAGGTTTTCTGCTAACCTGCCACGCTCTGATGTCTTTAGGCCTCATCCTGCCAAATGGAGACATCAACTGGAACTGCCCGTGTCTGGGCGGGATGGCCAGCGGACCGTGCGGCTCTCAGTTTAAGGAGGCCTTCTCGTGCTTCCACTACAGTAAGGAAGAAGTGAAGGGTTCCGAGTGCATCGACCATTTCCGTAACATGCAGGAGTGCATGCAGAGGTACCCCGAGCTCTATCCCCAGGAGGCCGACAAAGACGAGTCCGCCACCCCGTCTGACAGTGCTGCCTTAACATCCGAGAGCGACTCTACTGCGGTCACCTCAGCTGTTTCGTCTGACAGCACCTCACCTACAGACGACCAGGCCGCCAGCTAGAGTTGATTAGGTCAGTGTTAGAGACTTGTCCAAAAGGAGCTCCAATTGGTCTCTTCTCCTCCTCAAGCCTTCAGAGAGGGACTATTGATACAGTTCTGACACTCACAGGAAATCGACGGGCCATCAGGAGAAGAATTTCAGAGAGACGTAGAGCGTGTACACAAATACGAGCTGCTTTATTGGCTGAACACTTAAGAAAAAAACCTAATTAAGTTATCTGATTATTGACAGTGGGCCAAGTGATTTGCTTCAGGGACATCAGCCGAAATGCTCATTTTTATGCAGTGCAAACATGACTTGTTGCTTGTTCTCACGCCAGTCAGAATTTCAGCATTTGTAACTGTATCCCGAGGTCAGTTGTGTAGGAGTATAACTAAGCATTTATATTAGTCCATCTAAGAAATCAGAGGTAGATCTTTTGATTTGAGTGACGCTCAGCTTTATTTTACCTCAGACAGGTTTTTCAGCACTTCAACTTGTTTTCCACCACTCGAGACCAAAGCAGAAATAATCGACAGGAAAGCTGTTGAAGCATCTGTGCTGTTTTAGATGTTCTGTTTCTGACTTGTTGGCATCATGTATAAACCTACTGAGTCTCCATCTATAACTGTCTCATCTCTTCCGTTAGTTTTCTATCTGGCCTGTCATATTTACCTGTGAATGCATTAATGTTTTTGTCATGTTAATGCAATCACGAGTCTTGAGTTGAATGCTGTGGTCACCACTCGTGGTTTTTCCAGATTAAAATGATTGCCTGAAATTTTCAATCTCCGTTTTACTTTCATTCTAAAGAGAGAGGGCAGTGTCCCAGTTTCTTGTAGGATAAACATTTATATTTATTAGACAGTCGGCTGTGCTCATTCTTCAATGCTCAGATTTAACAAGGTGCTGGCAGTGTCCCAGAGTTTTGCGTTTTTTATTGACATCATAATTTTACGCAGTTGTTGCAGGTTGGTAAGCGCAACATTCACATTTGGCTGCACTCTGGTGGCTCTGCAGGCCACTGACGCACTTACTTCAGCTCATTGCCATGAAAGCAGGCTAAAATTATATGAACTTTGTTGTCCTGCTTAACGTAGCTATTAAAAGATGAGTAAACTGAATGATAAGGGGGTGCAGGTGGTCATTACTTTACAACATTACTGGAGTAGGCTGTGGCATTTGAATTTTGCTCAAATGGAACTAAAAGATATCAATAATCACCCCCCCACACAGTACACTCCTGAATTATAGATCCATGGGTTCACGTCAGATCACCTGGCTCATGTTCAGAGTCACTAAAACCACCTTCCTCTCTGCTATGCTTAAACTGCAGCAGGTCTTCCTGCTTGTCTATCTGCATATCTAAATTCACAGAGTCCAAGCCACATGATTGGCTGATGAAATATTTTCTATATGAGCAGGTGTAGCTGATGACGTGCCTGATGTTTCTATGTTAATTGCAGTATTTCACACTTGGTTTTCTGCTAATTAAATAAAAGGAGATGTAGTATTACAGGAAGATTTGTTAGCTTAACAAATCAAAGTATTTTTGCAGTAGCTATCCAGATCCAAAATGAATCTGACTATAAGGGGAAAAAACAAGCAAAAATAAAATCAACTATTTATACAAATTAGGTCTTTAACATCAAGTACAGCACCTTAAGTCAGACCACTTTAACATCCATTCATTCTCTTATGCACATGTTGGATGCTTCTCTTCAGTTATGAAGCCTCAACGAGCTGGACACGTTTGACTCCTGGATTTTCAGTCCACTATCTGAATTGGTCACTCACTCATGAGTATCTTGTAGAATCCTTCTGGATTGCATTCCTCCTCATATTTAGATCATATGGATCAGCGGCATCTATTTCTCAGGCTGTTTGATACAATCAGACCTACACGAGGTGTCCATGGAACCACGACGCTCTGCATAGTGACGAGCAAACGGCCCGTTCCACGCTCCTCTTTGCCTGCAAGCAGGTACTCCATACCTGCGAGAGAAAAAAAAAATAAAGATACTGTATATGGATTCAGTCTAAAACGTGAGTATTTTTATTGCAGGGATCTCAAACTCAGTGGGCCACATATGAAAGAAATCTGTCAGCATGACAGTTTGGGCTTGAATTGCCCAGATGTTAATTATAAAGCAGAATGTTTTTGTTAATTAATTTTATTTATTTGTTTAAAAATGTAAAAACCCCCAAAATAAAACCATTTTTATAAAATGTTTATATTAGATTGTGATGAATGGTAGATTATCTGTCATGTAATTGTTTATGAAGCTTATGTATAATAAGGAACATCACCATTTCCACTTCCTACCGCTGTGAAACTCAATGCTGACATCGCTGCTCTAGTCCAGTCATCTTTCTTCAAACCAGTCAGCCTCCCCTCTGTGTACTTTAAATCTTTCATTTTCCCTTCTGGACTCCTTCGTGCAACCCACCTCCTCGCCATCTCTGCCTCACACAAGTCCCTTCATCCAAGCCTCCATCATTTTGTCACCACCACTATCAGTGTCTAGACTTCTGGGCGTCCTGCCCTAATGGCTATCACTACTGGGATTTCATTCTGCTGTTATTGGGGCATCAGAGTCTAATCACCAAATAGCATAATTGGATTCTATATATCAGTCATATTCTTAGTATTGGTATAAGTATTGGAGTCTTCTAGGTTTAACATCCCTGCTTTATTGTTATTGATGGGGGATAATAGTTGGTTTTGCAGATGCCTTTTAAGATTTGCTTGAAACATTTCTTACCTGGGTTTAATATGGGGCATGTGCAGCCACGGCTGGTCCAGGACAGAGGATAGATGCTGGCGGTTCCTAAGCGCAGCGCCACCTGACCTGATCGAAGGACCTTGCGAACTTTGACGTGTACTTCAGCATGGCTGCCTTTGTCATGAGCAGACAACACATTGGCCTTGATGACTGTAACGGGCCACAAAGAAAGAAAACAGAGATCATTCTGAACCTTAAACCAAACTGTAGATGTATGTAATGTTTTTTAATCAAGTGAAGGCTGGGCCTTTTGTTGCTTACCATAATCATGTTTGGTCTTACAGAGCTCAGACGCACTTCTCAGCTTTTTCTCTTTACAGCTACACTTCCCTGTGTATAGAAACAGAGTTATGCTCTGTATATAGGAGAAAAATGGTTGAACCAGTGTTATTCATCATAATGCAGATTAACATCACCTGTGTAATGCAGAGCAGAGACTGTGAGCTCCTGAGACAAGTGTGCTTCTTCTTCAGTTGGCAAAAAATGATCCAAATCAGGTATTTTCCCACCAATGGGCACATTTAACATTTGCTTATTTGTGTAGCTGTAAAAGTGGAATAAAGCATGTGATGATTGCCAATTACTCATCATTCATTAAATTTAGTCTGATAAGTGAAAAATATCTACCTGTGGAGACACTGGCCAGTGAATGGATCACATTGGTGGGGGCATGTGCAAGGTTTGCATCCCTCCCCTCCAAAGCCCCAGTAGCCAGGTAGACAGTGGCTGCAGCTTGTGCCCCCTACACCAGATTTACAGTGGCACTGGCCACTCCTAGGGTGGCACCAGGGTTCCTCCTTTCCAGGTGGAGAAGGGAAAGAACCCTGAGGATCACACCAGCAGCCTGAGTGACAAAAGTTAATGAAGTTAATTAAAACAGTTAGAAAAGTGCCAGCAGATGGAGCTATAGCATTTGTAAGCTTCCCCAATGTTGAATCTCTTTTACTAATAACAGCTATAGACATGTCAGCCAACCCACTGCCACAGTAAAACACCCCTCTGCCTTTTGACTCTTACGTGTGCACGTGTGGGGGGAGCTGAGGGGCAGGGATGGGCGGCGGTGGTAGCCATAGCGACAGCGATGGCATCTACGCCCCGCTGTGTTGTGCTGGCAGTCCTCACATACACCCCCACTGAGTCTGCCAGAGGAAAGCCATGCCCGCTGAGAGAAGTGGCAGGTAGCTGCGTGACCATGGCACTCACACTCTTTGGTTGTGAGGATGTGTGATGTCACAGCGATCAGGATGAGAGAGATGAGAGAAAGTGAACAGGTAACACTCTTAGCATGGTCCAATTTAAAATTAAAGTAACCAAGACATTCAACTGTGTATTTAATTTAAAAGGTTTGGACTGCATTAATTTTTTTAGGCAAGTGAACACGATTGCTTCTTGTCTTAGTCATTCACACTCACACACAAATAACCATGCATGTTACTACCCTCCCATCTGGAGCAATGCTTGGTCCAGTATCTTGGCCAGGAGGAGTTGGGGTTTGCACCACCAACTCTGCAACTAGTAGACAACCTGCAATCCATCACCCCCCCCCCCCATACTTTAAAATCTTCTCTCCCCTCTGTTATTTTCCTTTGTCAGCAAAACGGCATCTCACATACGTAACAGCTGTACAAAGCTGCTGTTGGTTACTTACTCTGGCATGAGTTGGCCTCCCCACTGCTTCCATTGGCAGGCCTCCAAGGTTGATCATTGTAGAGCGGGGCGCACTTGGCACAGTGATCTCCAGCTGTGTGGTGACTACACAGACACCTACCAAACACCTGGAAGACACATCTTCATCTACATTTGATTTTGTTGCAGATGCCTGCTGTACAAAGAACCATAAAATATGTCAAGGCTTAATGTAAAGTGTCAATTTAAAGGACCTTTAACTGTGACCTAATCTAATCTCTTTAAACCAATATTCTGAATGTGTAATTAATTATTTTTGTACCTTTTTCACTTCAGGGTTTTATCTTTTCCTTTTGATACAAGCATACATACATGCAGGATAAAATGCTCACCATGTTACTGTCCTCTGTTTCCTTGTTTCCATTGTTGTGTGGTACACAATACTCAGCATGTCCATGGCACAGGCAGGTGCCTCTTGCCAGTAAAGTATAAATAGCATAAGGTGCTGAAGCAGAATTTTCTGAACTGGACGGGGGGCTGTGGACTGAGGATGTGATGCTTGTCCAGCGTCCTGGGGGGGTCAGAGCTGGGCTACAGGTCTGGGATTTTAGCAGTCTGACACGGAGATTTGTGATGGTCAGGTGAGAGAGGGCCTCTGGACTGTAGGGGTCGAATGTCATAGCACTGCTGGGGTTTAGAGTACGTAATATGACCTAGAAGGAGAAACATAGCTTTAAACTGCACTGAATGAAACATTTGCACAATGCATCATATCCAAATATCCTCTACCTCTCCACCTGTGCAGGGTGCAGCATCAGTATAGCGGGATGTACACGGTGACCCTGGCTGATTGAAGTCATCAGGCAAACCGAATTCTAAGCTGCAATTATAGGCAAAAACCTTTAAAGCTTCCCACGTCTTTCCAAAGTCCACTGAGCGTTCAATGGCCATGGCAGCAGGCCGCGGTGACTTGAACACCAAAACCAAGTGAGTAAGATAGAATTTCGTTTCCAGGTCTAAACGTATCTCATCCTGCTGCCCCCGCATTGTTCTACCTCCACCTGATGCCCACCAGGTATCTGGATGCAAGAAAGGGTCATCAGTCATGTGAAGAGCTGGGTGAGGATCCTGAGAGCAGGCCTGAGGACTGACAGAAGGTTGGGGACACAGAGGATGCTGGGATGTGCTGTTCCCACAGCAGTTCGAGAGGGTGAACAGGGTCCTGCCACTTGCCAGGTTTCCTATGGGTGGACTACAGGCACGGTCCAGGCAACTAGAAGCTGAGGCAGAGGGTGAATGAGAGTCAGTGAGAGTGTGAGACAGTAGTGGAAAATGTTTATTCCATGACTGAGCAATACAGATCGTTCTT